AAAACAGGGGCTGAATATTGGGACCAAAATTTGACGGGGATCGAGTCCAGAACTTCACAATTTCATACAACAAAATATAACACAACTCAGACTTTGAGAAAAGTTTATAAAAATCAAGTTTTCGGACGAATAAACAAAACGGCATTCAAGACTCGAAATAATACAACGAGACTCCGAAAAACAAAACGGAACTCCGAAATTAAACGTATTCCTCGCAGCAACATAACGATACTCATTTTTACGTAACCAAGAGTTCCAATAATCCCCGAAAATCCACGAATATGCGAAATATATATAAGCATATGAATCAACAAATCATCCGAATCTGAAACAAAGTTTCGGTAGCACATATGATATTCTTATCTATCATGCGATATATGAAAACGACCGTAATAACGAGAAGATTCGAATAAGTTACTCGACTTCGGGAAACTACGAGTTATCGAACCGGAAATGGGTCAAACAACGGGACAACGATTTATACAACGAACGACTCGACCGCTCTCGCTTGGGCTCGCCGGCGGAAGAGCAACGGCTGACGGGACCCGACGGAAGCTGCTGATCGCTGTAAGGTTGTGACGAAGGAGGTTCGCTGGACTGATGATGACGATCGGAACTCGGTGCTTACTCTCGGGGTGATGATATGCGATCAGATTGAGAGATGATGATGATTTTGATAGAGAGAGGGTGATGAATACGAGAGATGGAGAGTTGAGAATTTTTGTGATGAGATGATAAAATTTTCTCGTTCTTTCTGTGGTGCTATTGTCAAGAGAGAGATGTATGAATTTCTGAAAATTTTCCAATTAAAATTAAAGATGACGAGCGCCGGTTAAAGAGGATAGAAAAAGACTTTTACGTTTTTTCAAAAAAAAAAACAAACGTAATGGGTGAGGGACTTAAAGGATAATTATATCACCATAATTGCAATATAATTAGTTCTTTAACTCATAATTTAAATGGCCCATCATGATTATGAAAAAAATAGAAACGGTTCCCTGTTACATGGCCAGCTCAGATGTGGTTCACGGCTCACGGGCCGGATTTATTCGGTTCGACACTTACGATATTTTGGGCTCGGTTTAATCGCACGGTAAATTAAAATAAAACCGGAACATAAATATTTACATTTATATATATAATACACAATAATTATTAATATATAATAATCATATATAATACACACAAATAACATTTAGGCAATTAGCACAAATAATAATAATAATAATAATAATAATAATAATAATAATAATAATAATAATAATAATAAAATAATCTAATTTATTCATAAACGAACGGGGCGTTACAGTCTACCTACCTTACAAAGAATTCTGACCTCCGAATTCGAAAACGAAAACTAGAAAGCGATAAAATACAAAGGAGAGCTCAAAACTCAAAGTTCGGATACCGCCTCCTAATACCGTCCTCCCTCTCCCAAATCGCTTCGGTCTCATCGTGTCGGCTTCACAGCACCTTGACTAAACTCACTGCCCGGTTCCTCAACTGATGGACCTTCCGGTCCAGAATAGCTACCGGCACCTCCTCATAGGTAAGGTCTCGCTCAACTTGCAGCTCGCCGAAGTCCACCACATGGTCAGGATCATGCACATACCTCCGAAGCATCGAGACATGGAACACGTCGTGCACACCCGACAAGTCTGGTGGTAAAGCCAGCCGATACACTAAGTGCCCGACTCGGTCGAGGATCTCGAACGGCCCAATATAGCGAGGTTTAAGCTTCCCTTTCTTTCCGAAGCGAATCACACCTCGCATGGGTGAAACCTTCAGAAGAACATGATCTCCCACCGCATACTCATGCTCATGCCTCTCCCGGTCTGCATAGACCTTCTGCCTCTCCTGGGCGGACCTGATGGCCTTCCGGATCTCCTCAACGGTCGCAGCAGTACTCTGAACAAAATCCGGTCCTGTAATCCTCCTCTCTCCAACCTCATCCCAATACAAAGGGGTCCGGACCTTACGTCCGTATAATGCCTCGTATGGGACCATCTTGATCGAAGAGTGATAGCTGTTGTTGTAGGTCAGCTCGACTAGCGGAAGGGCATACTCCCAAGTCAGGCTTCGGTCCAAGACCACAGCCCTCAAAATATCCTCCAAATACTGGATCACACGCTCTGACTGGCCATCTGTCTGGGGGTGAAAGGCTGTACTGAACTCCAATCTCGTCCCCATGGCTCGGTGCAACGTCCTCCAGAACTGGGATGTGAACTTGGCATCTCGATCCGAAACAATCTCCACGGGCACTCCGTGAAGCTTGACAATATCCTTGACAAACAATTCGGCGTAATCACTCGCCTTCATGGTCGTCCGGACAGGCAGAAAATGGGCAGACTTCGTAAGGCGATCCACTATCACCCAAATCGAATCGAACCCGCTCCTAGATCTTGGCAGTCCAACCAAGAAATCCATGGTGATGCAATCCCACTTCCACTGGGGAACCTCCAGGGGTTGCAACAACCCTCTCGGTTTCTGGCGCTCAGCCTTCACTTGCTGACACACCAGGCACCCATCCACGAACTTCGCTGCCTGCCTCTTCATGCCTCGCCACCAGAAGGACTTCCTCAGGTCCTGATACATCTTCGTGCTACCAGGATGGATGGTGTACGGGGCACTATGGGCCTCCCTCAAAATCTCTTTCCGCAGCTCCCACACCCTCGGAACACAAAGTCTACCCTCGAAGACCAAGGCTCCATCTGATGCGACTGCGAAACCACCAACTCTACCAGCTGCTGACAACTCCCTCATTCGGCATAAGAAACGGTCATTCGGTTGCTCGGCGACTATCCTCTCCCGAAGAGTCGGTCCCACAACCAAAGAGGCCAACATGCCCCCGGCTGTCGAAGTCGACTCTACTGCCTCCAACTGCAATCGCTCGAACTCCCGAAGAAGGACATCCTGCCTGGTAAACAAGCAAGATAGCTGGCCATAACTCCTCCGACTAAGGGCATCGGCTAACACATTAGCTTTCCCAGGGTGGTAGCTAATGGTGCAGTCATAGTCCTTGACCAGCTCCAACCACCTACGCTGCCTCATGTTCAGCTCCTTCTGAGTGAAGATGTACTTTAGGCTCTTGTGGTCGGTAAAGATCTCACACTTGCCTCCATAGAGGTAGTGCCACCAAATCTTCAAGGCGTGGACAACTGCAGCTAACTCGAGATCATGAGTGGGGTAGTTCTGCTCGTGAGGCTTCAGCTGCCTCGAAGCATAGGCTACGACTTTCCCTTGCTGCATGAGGACACAACCCAGACCCATCTTCGAAGCATCACTATAGATGGTGAACTCCAAAGTAGGTTCAGGTATGGCTAGGACAGGCGCGGTAGTGAGTCTCCTCTTCAACTCCTAGAAACTCTCCTCGCACTGATGACTCCTATCAAACCTCACGGCCTTCTTCGTAAGGTTGGTCAGCGGCTGGGCTATCTTCGAGAAACCTTCGATAAATCTCCTGTAGTATCCTGCTAACCCCAGGAAACTACGAACATCCGCGGCACTTCTTGGCGTATCCCACTTGCTCACCGCCTCGATCTTGCTGGGATCCACCTCAATGCCTTGAGCTGTCACAATGTGGCCAAGGAATGCCACACGCTGCAGCCAGAATTCGCACTTCGAGAACTTAGCATACAACTTCTCGCGGCGAAGAGTCTCCAGCACAATCCTTAAATGCTCCTTGTGCTGATCGATACCACGGGAATAGACCAGAATGTCGTCGATGAACACAATGACGAATTGGTCTAGGAAAGGATGAAAGACCCTATTCATAAGGTCCATGAAAACGGCCGGGGCATTGCTGAGTCTGAAGGGCATGACTACGAACTCATAGTGGCCATAGCGAGTACGGAAAGCAGTCTTGGAAATATCTGACTCCCGGATCTTCAGGTGATGATAGCTAGAACGCAAATCAATCTTCGAGAAAACGCTGGCTCCTCTCAGCTGGTCGAAAAGGTCCTCAATACGGGGAAGGGAGTACTTGTTCATGACTGTAAGGGCATTCAACTCCCGATAGTCAATACACATGCGCATAGATCCGTCTTTCTTCTTCACGAATAGGACGGGCGCACCCCACGGCGAGACACTCGGACGAATGAAATCGAGCTTAAGCAACTCGTGGATCTGGGCCTTGAGCTCTTGAAGCTCCTTCGGCGCCATACGATAAGGGGCCTTAAAAACGGGGCCGGCTCCTGGAATGAGGTCAATAGTGAACTCCACCTGACGGTCTGGCGGTCCTCCGGGTAAGTCATCAGGAAAGACGTCGAGGTACTCACAAACGATAGATACTCGCTCGGGCACCCGCTCATCAACGACGTCGGATACCATAGAAACAAGATAGCCTTGACAACTACCCTTGGAAAGGCTCTTCCTAGCTTGCATAGAAGAGATGACCCGAGGCACAGTCCTCGAACTCACCCCAAAGAACACAACAGGCTGATCGGAAACGGGATAAAGGGTGACTTCGCGCTCCTGGCACCGGATATCGGCTCGGTAACGGGTGAGCCAGTCCATGCCCAAGATCACGTCAAAATCTCGCATATCAATAATATAGGCATCGACCTCCAGAACTCGACCACCAATACAGATAGGAAGATTGCGAACCACAGAATCAGAGATAATAATTTTTCCCGAGGCTAAACTAACCTCTAGAGGATCACAAGCATGCACGGTGCCAATAGACAATGCCTCCAAGCAACGAGAAGAAATAAAAGAATGGGTAGCACCGGTATCACATAAAGCAAAAACAGGCACATGGGATATCGAAAGCATTCCGGACATGGTACTTGCATTGCGGGCGGCCTCATCGTGGGTGATGGTATAGACTCGGGCTTGACCCCCAGCCCTCTGCTGGAACGGTGGGGGCTGCTGGTGCTGCTGATGGGGTGACGGTGGGGGAAGCTGCTGCTGCTGAGGGAAGTGCTGCTGCTGAGGAAACTACTGCTGCCTCTTGGGCTCCAGACAGA